GAAAATATCCCCCCCCCCCCCAATACCTTAGATCTTTCATAGATGAGATGTTGTTTCACTACATGATTTGCTCTTTAACATACTGTCTCCCTCTTCTTTCAGCTCCTATGTGTGGTGGTCAGCTCCGTGGCCCTAGTGGCATCATCACCTCCCCAAACTTTCCAGTACAATATGACAACAATGCTAACTGCACCTGGATCATCACAGCTTCGGACCCTTCCAAGGTAAATGCTTCTTTGCACGCTGCTGAAACATAGCTTCACACTTGAGTATCAGAACATGTCATTTGAAGTAAAACAATAATTAGGCCGAGGCAAAACCCATAGACGACTTTTGCCTTTTCTGTTCTGATTTAATGGGAAAATCTGATTTAAATATGGTAAAATGCACATTACCATTCAAAAGAGGGTCAGTACATTTTTTGAAAGAAGTCTCTTAAGCTTCCCAAGCCTGCATTTATTTGATCAAGTAATTCAGTAAAAACAGCAACATTGTGAAATATTATTATAATACTTTAACTCTTTTCTATTTTAATATTTTTAAAATGTAATTTACTTCTGTGATGGCAAAGCTGAATTTCAGCATCATAATTACAGTCTTCATTGTCACATGATCCTTCAGAAATCATTCTAATATTATGATTTAATGCTCAGTAATTGCTTATTATTATCAGTTAAATTCAGTTGAGCTGCTCTCTCTCTCTCTCGCTCTGTATATATATATATATATTTGTGTGCAAACCCTGTGTCACGGCAGAGAAGAGTCAGGATCCAAGTGCGAGTGCAAAAAGGTAAGGTTTATTTGTAATCACAAACAACGGAGACAACAAAGATAATCCTCGGGTCCAGGTCCGAATCAGAGCTCCACAGAGAAATCCCTTCCTCCACTGCGTTTGACCAAACCAAGGAGAAGGCTGAAGATCTGTACCCTGACTGAGCGAGAACTGGAAACAGAGACTGACAAGGAGACAGGAACATGAGGATAACGAACCGACAAACACACATTGAACAGAGTGCCCTATATAGGACTCGTTAACGAGTTGCAGCTGGCGCGCTCTGATTGAGCGCCAGCTGCAAACACTAACGAATGACGTACGCACATACAACCACATGACAAGACACAGAAAGACCGTCCGGACCCATGAACCGTGACAGTACCCCCCCCCCTAGGAATGCCTCCTGACATTCCCAGGAAGACCGACCTGTCGATCGAATTCATCGATAAGAGAGTGATCCAGTATGTCCCTAGCAGGTACCCAACTTCTCTCCTCCGGACCGTAACCCTCCCAGTCCACCAAGTACTGAAATCCTCTTCCCCTCCGCCTTGAGTCCAGAATACGTTTTACCGAATAGGCTGGTTCCCCGTCTACGAGACGCGGCGGTGGAGGAACCGGGACTGGCGGATTAATGGCTGAATGAAAAACAGGCTTAATTTTGGATACATGAAACGACGGATTAATTCTCCTGTACGCTGGAGGAAGTTTGAGGCGGACTGCCACCGGACTAATAATCTTGGTGACAGTAAACGGGCCAATGAATTTGGGAGCAAGCTTATTACTGACGGATCGGAGAGGAATATTCTTGGTTGAAAGCCACACCTTTTGACCGACGACGTAAACGGGAGGTTTCGACCGGTGGCGATCGGCCTGGACCTTGGTGCGCGCCCCCACCTGGAGGAGGGTCACCCTGGCCTTGCTCCAGGTGCGACGGCACCTCTGGACGAATGCGTGGGCAGAGGGGACCGCGACTTCGGATTCCATACTGGGAAAAAGTGGTGGCTGGTACCCTAAGCTACACTCAAACGGAGACAGGCCCGTGGCAGAGACTGGTAATGAGTTATGTGCGTACTCAACCCATGAGAGTTGCTGGCTCCACGAGGAGGGGTTCTGAGAAGCCAAACATCGCAACACTCGTTCCAAATCTTGGTTGGCCCTCTCTGTCTGACCATTACTCTGGGGATGAAACCCGGAAGAAAGACTAACCGTCGCCCCCAACAACCTACAAAACTCTCTCCAAAATTTGGACACAAACTGGGGCCCCCTGTCAGAGACCACGTCTACCGGGAGGCCATGTAAACGAAAGACGTGATCTATGACAGCAACCGCTGTTTCTCTGGCTGAGGGTAATTTGGGCAGAGGAATGAAATGAGTTGCCTTCGAGAATCGGTCCACCACGGTCAAAACCACCGTGTTCCCCTGAGAAGGGGGAAGACCCGAGACAAAATCTAGCGAAACATGGGACCAGGGTCTCGAAGGAACCAACAACGGCGGGAGAAGACCCGCGGGGGGGCGATTGGAAGACTTAGAAACAGCACAGACGGAGCAGGCCAAAACAAATGAACCAATGTCCCGAGCCATACCTGACCACCAGAACCGTTGTTTAACCAGAAACATGGTACGTCTCACCCCAGGATGACAGGCTACCTTGGAGGAATGAGCCCATCGGATAACGTCGGACCTTACGGACTCTGGCACAAACAACCGGTTCGGTGGGCACCCGGACGGGGGCGTTACCCCTTGAGAGGCCGTGCGGACCTTAGACTCGATCTCCCATGTGACCGCAGAAATAAAAAGTCTCCTTGGCACAATGGGGTCGGGCAGGGACGGGCGCTCCGAATGATCAAAAATACGGGATAACGCATCCGGCTTGATGTTCTTAGAACCAGGACGGTAAGAAATGGAAAAATCGAATCGGCCGAAAAAAAGAGCCCACCGAGCCTGCCTAGAGTTCAATCTCTTAGCGGACTTGATGTATTCAAGATTCTTGTGATCTGTCCAGACGACAAAAGGAACCCCCGAACCCTCCAACCAATGACGCCACTCCTCCAAGGCCAACTTGACTGCCAATAACTCTCTGTTACCAATATCATAATTACGTTCGGCGGAGGACAAACGGTGAGAAAAATACGCGCAGGGGTGCACCTTGCCGTCCGTGGGAGAACGCTGGGATAGTACCCCACCAACCCCCACCTCTGACGCGTCAACCTCCACCACAAACTGCCTGGAAGGATCAGGGGCTATGAGGATGGGAGCTGAAACGAAGCAGCCTCTCAGTTTGGAAAATGCCGCTTCCGCTGCACTAGACCACCTGAACGCAGTCTTGGTGGAGGTTAAGGCCGTCAAAGGTGCAGCTAGCTGGCTGAAATTGCGAATAAAACGCCGGTAGAAATTGGCAAAGCCCAGAAACCTCTGCAGGGCCTTGCGGGAATCTGGGGTTGGCCAATTCACCACAGCCTGAACCTTCTCAGAATCCATGCGCACCCCCTCGGCCGAGATGATGTACCCCAAAAAAGGAACAGACTGTGCATGGAAAGCGCATTTCTCCGCCTTGACAAAAAGCCCATTCTCTAACAGCCTCTGAAGCACTCGTCTGACGTGCTGAACATGTTCCTGGAGAGAACGAGAAAATATCAGTATGTCATCCAGGTAAACATAAATGAACTGATCTAGCATATCTCTCAGAACGTCATTAACGAGTGCCTGGAAAACCGCGGGAGCGTTGGAAAGGCCAAAAGGAAGAACAAGATATTCAAAGTGCCCCCTGGGGGTATTAAAAGCGGTTTTCCATTCATCCCCCTCTCTTATGCGAACCAAATGATAAGCATTGCGGAGATCTAATTTCGTGAAAAATGACGCCCCCTGCAGACGCTCGAAAGCCGACGACATCAACGGTAAAGGGTAAGTATTCTT